CAGATGAAATGTTTAATTCAGATCATGGAAACAGCTCTACAATGGAGAGACTGAAGGAACATCCTCCATACAACAAAAAGACATTAGTCATTTTGTGAAAATAAACTTGATCATAGCTATTTTTATAAACAATACAAAAATTGTCATTACTGGTTTTTGTTCTGTTGTTGCCAGTTTGTTACAGAAAACAACCTGTAGAGTGTTGAATATTAAACATCTGTATCAGACAGAAAAAAACTGATTTAAAATAGATAAATATGCACAATGTACAAGATGTGTCTGTAATGTCACATTATTAGGACCCACTGATTCCGTGCACCGGTCAAGGTGCCCTCTTCTTACATTTGAGCACCTGGCCCTGAAAATATCTGTGCACACTCCTGTTTATATGTTCTATTAATTCAATGAGAGCCATCGATGTAGAATCTTTTGTTCTAAACCCATACTGACTGTTACTTAATATATTCTGCTCATCAATGAATTTGTCCAATCTAATCACAAATAATTTCTCTAAAATCTTTTGAAAATTACTTTGATCCACTGATGAGCTCACTGACCAAGAACACCAGTTGAAACGTTACAAACTGATAACACTGCATTAGGATTTATTTGTTTCAAATTCAGACAAAATACAGGTTGTGGTTTTTGGACATAAGACCCTTAAGAATACATTTTGCAGCCTTTCACTTGAAATAGTATTAGCTTGGCCCTCCTAACTTGTTGAAAACCTTGGTGTTTTTCCAATGATTTCTTGTCTCGACTCCATCTCCATCTTCTTCCACTTATCCAAAGTCGGGTCGCAAAGGCAACAGGTTCAGGTGGGAAACCGAGACACCCCTCGCCCCAGTAGGGCTGGGTAAAAAATCAATTTAATCAATCTTGGATCGATTTCATTTAAATTTGGGAAAATCCGATTCACAGGGCATGAGATTGATTTTTCTCCATGGCGTCGTGTGCTCACATCTGAGGCGCGTTTCTGTATTTTGTTTCACTCATGTCTTGCCATATGTTTACATCCAGATGATGTTCAGTGCTAACATTAGCTTTCGACAACAAGTTGTCTGGGGCAAAACAAAAGAAACAAAGGAATCAAACATCACCAGCTGAAGATCTGCAGATCTTAAAGATAACAGAGACCATGACAACTTTTGTTTGCAAAGTTTTACGCCCATACGTGGCAGTGAAAAACGAAGCAACGAGTGGYTCGTTCAGGTGCTCTACCCACTGTATGTAAACATCTGACTGAAACGGTTCTSCACAGCATGTATAAATGTGTGAAAGATGACGTTTAACAAAATCGTTTAGTTTTGTTACTAATATTACTATTTTTAAACTTGAAGAAATGTCTTAATAAAATCCACAGTGATGAAATGTTGTAGTTGTATTATTTGTTTTAATTATTTATATCTATATTAAAAATATGTGATTATACGATTTATATATATATATATATATATTATATAAATGTTTTAATAGGTTTATTGAACATAACAAAATGTAACAGAAACCTTACAAATATACAGTTTTCATACGCTTTTCAAACTGAGTGGGCAGAAATATACTTATATTAGCCCACCTCTTCTCCTGCTACCTATTTCCCATCCCTTCATATTTATCAAGAAAATTATTAATTTCTTAAAAATGAATGCATCCAACAACACTGTCACTTGCAATTCCTTTTTAATTTAAAACCATTTAAACTTGTGTAGGTATTCTTCCGGGATTAAACTGCTTAATTTAAAAGTTTGCCCTTAAAACCTGTTGTTTATGGTGAAGAGAAAAAATAAAGTAATATTGTATTTTGCAACACAATTGAACCATTTCATAATTTAAGAGCAGATCGAATCGAATTAAATCGAATTGTGATTAATCGATTCAGAACATCATGAATCAAAATCAAATCGATTGAGTTGATAGAGCCGTCCAAGAGGCATCYTAATCAGATGYCCAAWCCACTTCAACCGRCCCCCATCGATACGGAGGAGCAGCGGCTCTACTCTGCTCTCTCTCTGTCTGGATGATGAAGAAAACCCTATCTCTAAGGCTGAGCSCGGCCACCCTAYAAAGGTAGCCGATTTTGGCATTGTATCAGGAATCTYGTTCTTTCAGTCATGATCCATACCTCATGACCATAGGTGAGGGCTGGAAAGTAGACAGGCCAGTAAATTRAGAGCTTTGCCTTTCGACTCAGCTCTTTCTTCACCATGACCGACCAAAGCAATACCCTAATTACTGAGGACAAGGCCCAAATCTGTCGATCCATCTCCCACTCCATCCTACCATCACTGTTGAACAAGACACCCAGATACTTAAACTCCTCCACTTGAGGCAGAGACTCTTCCCCCAACCTGGAGGGGGCATCCCGCCCTTTTCCAGTCGGGAGCCATGGCCTCAGACTTAAAGGAACTGACTTTCATCACAGCCGCTTCWCACACGACTGCGAACTGCCGCAGTGCAGGCTGAAGGTTTTGGCCTGGWGACGCCAACAGAACCACATCATTTGCAAACAGCAGAGACAAGACCCTGTTGTTTCCAAACAAGACACCCTCCTCCGCACGACTGTACCTTTCGATCCTGTCCATAAACACTACAAACAGGATCGAAGACCAGGGACAGCCCTGGCCAAGTCCAACCTGCACTGAGAACAAGCTCGACTTTGTGCCAAGAATGCGGAMACAGCTCCTGYTTTAGTTATACAGGAACTGGATCTCTCTTAGTAGCAACTCAGACACTCCATACTACCACAGCACCCTCCACAAAATGTYTCAATGGACATGGTCATAAGCCTTCTCCAAAACACATGTAGACCACAGAGGCAAACTTCCACAAAGTTTCCCCTTAGCAACTCAACAAGGGTAAAGATCTGGTCCACTGTTCCACAACCAGGACGGAAGCCACACTGCTCCTCTTGAATCTGGGGTTCGACAATCAATCCAATTCAATACAATCCTTCCAACACCCTGGAGTAAACTTTCCCTGGGAGGGCAAGAAGTTTGATCCCACGATAGTTAGAACAAACTCTCTTTTTAAAAATGGGAACCATCACTCCAGTCTGCCACTCAACAGGAGTTGTCCCAGTCTTCCATGAAATATAGAGATGTGTCAACAATGAAAGTCCCACATCATGCAGAGCCTTCAGCATTTCGGGGTGAATCTTGTCCGCACCAGGTCCCTTGCCACGATTAACCTTTTGATTACCTCAGTGACAACGGCCAGGATAATGGACTCGTCCAGACTCTGCTTCCTCAAAGATGGACAYGGAGGGTGGATTGAGGAGATCCTCAAAGTGTTCCTTCCACCCCTCAACAATATTCTTAKTCTGGGTCAGGAGCCTGAGACGGGGAACRCTTTCCTTTTCTGAGTTSTCGTATGGTTTGCCAGAACCTCCTCAAGGCCAACCAAAAGTCCTTCTCCATGGCCTCCCCGAATTCCTCCCATGCCCTAGTTTTTGCATCTGCAACCACAGAAGTKACAACCSTCTTTGCCACCCTGTACCTGTCAGCTGCTTCATGACTCCTCTGGGAAAGCCAAATCCAGAAGGCCTCCTTCTTCAAMCTGACAGCCACCAGAGGGTACTTCGGTTGCTACCGYGACAGGCACCTATGACCTTCAGATAGCTCCTTGAAGCTGCATCTGCAATGGAGGCCCTGAACATGGCCCATTTATATTGCATGTCCCGA